ACTCGATATCATCACCATCAACGGTGTATCAGCGCCAGCAGACATACCCATCACATTGATGTAGCGCGGCCATTAGAGGCAAAGTCAACAGTGAAACTCTGGCCCATCATGCTACCGCAGTAATGACCACCGAATGCAGGAGAAGCAGCAGTAGTAGTGGTCGCTTTAGTGGTCGTCGTAGTCGTAGTGGTTGCTCTAGTTGTGGTAGTAGTCGTAGTGGTGGCTTTAGGAGTGGTGGCAGTAGTCGTAGTGGTCGCTCTAGTTGTGGTAGCAGTAGTCGTAGTTGTCACTCTAGTTGTGGTAGCAGTAGTCGTAGTGATAGGACCGACGGTGTTAGTGGTGGTCTCCACAGGGGTGGTTGTCACGGCCTGAGCGGTAGTCGTTGGAGCAGCCGTGGTATTAACCTCAGTAGCGGTAGTCGCAATAGAAGCACTAGTAGTAGACGCTGACTTGGTTGCGGGAACCGCTGTGGTGAAAGGAGATTCAGTGGGCTCAGCGGTGGTCACATGACCCATGGAACAGGGTACGGCCTCGCCGACGCAGCTAACATCACCAGGCTGGAAGCAATAGGAGCCGTCAGTTCTTCTGACGAGACCGAAGCAAATAGAAGGTGTCATCCAACCCTTGCAGTATGAACCATACTTGGACCCGCGGCATCCATCGACCTCCGAGCACATCTGTGAGCAAGCATCCTCAGTGGCAGTGGCCACAGCAACGGCACTGGCAACAACTACAGCAGTAGAAACAGCAAAACGCATTGGGAAAACTTTTGAACGGATGTCAAATAACTTGAAACAGATGAGTGTACACACACTCACAACCCGTCACCTAAATACGGATCTCTAACACCACTCAAACTCCCGAGACACGACAGTCGATTATGAACGTCAGATAGCCCTGCCAAGTATCTATGAAGCTTTGTGTTTGGATATGCATTCTTGTCTCCGTAATTGGACAACACTAGTCTGGAAGTTGTGCTCCCCGTGCTTGTGTGGGGAGTGTTCTCATGCTAAACCGTATCGGATGCAGTCCATAGCCTGGGACTACTT